CTTTGAATCCAGTTATCCAAAATTCATCCAGTGAATCAGACTGGCTTTTAAGAGTTGGAGAAAGAGGATGCAAAGCAAATAGAAAGGTTTCTATTGCCTTGTATTGTGATCTATAAAAGTTATAAATTCCATAGGGGGATTTATTTTCCCCACTTATTCTTCTACCCTTCTAAGGCCTTGAAAACTACACTCCAAAAGTGTCTTCTGCCAAACCCACTGCAGCAGCATCTACCACCAATACATATTTCTAATTCTGGGCTGGCAATCACAATGGTTAGTTGTTGCAGTGATTTAAGACAGCTAATATCTCTGCTCTAATTCTGCACCCTCCTCAGAACACCAGAAATTTTCAAGTTGTGCTGAACATGTGAAAAAAAAATCCATATTAACCTGCTTTTTCTCTCCATAAAGATATTTGTACCAAACAAAAATTAAGTATTAACTGAGAGTCTATGGAGATTTTCAGTCATCCAGGTCATGGTTGTCTCAAAGGTGCTTTTTCAAGAGGCAATTGGACTTTCAGATAGTCTTATTAACAGGGAGTTGCAAATACTTCTGCAGGTATCAAAAACTTACCTGAGGTAAAGTATTTGTTTGAACAAATAAGGAAACAAGTAATTGGCCAAGTTCCACATGGCACTGCAAAAAATTACAGTGTCCACATATGCTGAATTTAAAAAAATATTATTAAACTTCTATATTGTCCATCTCAAGGTGACTATTATCCTGATAACAAAACTGATTAACTCTTTCACTTGTGGGATTTTCAATCAGGCACAAAAGATTAAATAAGGATCAGTAGACATTAATACTCTGAAGAGTTTAATCTGTGATCACAAGAGAAATAAAAGAGAGGGATGGAATATATGATCTTGACGTATTCAATATACCTTGAAATGGGGAACACTATTCACTTTTTATCATGTTTATCAAGTTACACCTGGAAAAGGTGTAAAGGCAAGAGAGAGAAAAAGGACACTACTTCACTTGCAGAAATGAGCTGAAGTGGATCCTCAGTCAACCTTGAAAACAATGCACAGTAATGCAACTCTGAGTAGGTGGGTGGGTAGGTGTGTCTGTATGCATTTTCCTCTATATAGACTTTCACAATGTGGTGCACACCCCCAATATGTTCAACTGCTATCCCTATGGGCTCTGTGATTGGGATTTGTAATCTGAAACACTCAGATGTTATACCAGGTTTGTTAAAGCTTAACAAATACAATTCAAAGAGCAGAGCTTCTTTAACACATTTGCAAAAGGAGAGATGCTGAGAAGCAGTTTGTAATGCCCGGGGATGAGTGGGAGGAACTGTCTCTGGAAAAATTTCTTCTCTTATACAGTCTCCCCTAAAGGGACACCAGCCCCATTTTCCTTTCGGTCACCCCAGTAGAGGGATGACTAGCGCCAGTTCCGCATCTGTGGGGGCGGGCAGGGGTGGGGGGCGGAAAGCAAAAGTGAGGCAATGCAATACGAAACCAAGGCTCAATGCCGACCTCAAGTGGGGTGGCGGCTCCGTTCCAAGCCCTGGGGACCAGCTAGTCAATTCACCCACCCACCCACCTATTCATGAATGAATGTGTTCCCAAGGCAGCCTCCCACCATCTCTGTCCTCCCGATGGGCTCAGCCACTACAACTTCCAGAAGCTCCCCTTGAGGGGGGATCTTGGGAAGTGGAATCCAAGCAGACCAGCTGGGGGCCAAGGCTGGCTTCGGGCGCTTTAAACGAGCGCTGATGCGTCCCCATAAAGGTTCGAAGCACGACTGCGGAGAACAGGCGTAGGGAACCCAGGAAAGCAGCTGCGGAGGGCTCCCCGCTCCTTACCGGAACGTCGGTTTTGCTCCAGCCGCATGGGGAGCAGCCCCCACCCCACCCCCGCAAAAAAGATGCGCCCCCATGCACAGCTCTTGGGACATTGCGCCCCCTCCTCTCGCCTTTGCACCCCCGACCCTTCGCCCCACTCTCTGCTGGAAAAGCTTCTCGGAGCCGGAGCCCGCTCCTCCAAGGCGCGTCTCTTCCCTCACTCCCGTCCGAGGATGCTTCACGGGTCTCCGGCGGCGTCTCTTGTTTTTCCGCCCGCCCCCCACCCCTCCAGCCAGAGTCAGACGCACCTGCATGCGCTCGAACTCCTCTTCGGACAAGGCCTGCGCCATCTTCCCTCCCCCGCCGCCCCCCCGGCTCGGCTCCAGCTTGGTACGATCCAAAGGAGAGAGGAAGAAGGAATCGCGAGCCTGCCCCTGCCCACTCGTTGGAGGAGGATGACGAGATGGCTTTAAGAAGATATCATAGAGGGAGCAGGAGAGAGGACGGATGTTTTGAGAGAAGTTCACTCTCTCTCTCTCTCTCTCTCTTTTTTTTTTTTTGTCTGCACCGGAGAGAGAGGAACAAGCGGAACCGGCGGACTGGAGCTTGGAGGCCGGAAGTGAAGAGGCATAGAGATGTGAGTGGGCACTAATGAAGAAGGGTGATTCACAAGCGGAGCTTTGGCGCCCGAGGCAGTAGGGAGGGAGGGACAGGGAGGGAGTAAGAGGAGAAAGTGTAATACAGCGATTCGGATGCTCCCATAGAAACAGAAGCCTAGAGAGGATCCAGACGTTTTCCCGTCAGGGTCATAGAGATGCCGGAAGTGATTGAGCTCATAGAAATAAGGAGCGCAGCATATATTATAGATGAAAGCGAAATGGCCGAGGAGGTGAGCGAAGGAGGCGACTTCGGAAGTGATCGATAACAATTGAAAATTTGCGTCTTCGGTGCCTTCTCCTTCCTTCGGTCACGTCACAGTCATTTTTTCCTCCATTAGATATAAAGTCGCCAGTAGCTGACAGTCGTGCGATCATTTCTACCTCCACGGGGGCGGGGGGGGGGGGTTGGGGGGGGTGTCTCGAGTGCGGTCCGGATCCTTTGAGGAGGGTCCCTGGGAGTGGAAGCGCTTTAATTGGCAGGGAGCGCCTTACAATGAATCGTATCGACTTCAGCAGTCCCTCGCAATCTACCTGGATGGAATCGAAATCTTTTGCCTACAAAACGGGTGTTCCAAGAACTGCTACCCCCGAAACGGGAATGCTAACGGACAAAGCAGCGCAGTGGCACCTCTTGCAGGAAAGAAAGCAGAAGGCTGCAATCCTACACCAACTAAATTGCGATTGAGGCCTCTTTCGTTCAATAACATTGCAAATTATGTAAAGGAATGTGCTGCGAGGGTATAACCCTAAACATGTATACCAAATATACTTACTGCTATACAAATGTTTATAGGGAAATAGTCTCTTCAGAAGATTCCCAGGTCTTAATATACAGTATTTGATTTATGCAAGATAACTACATCTGTTAAAACTACCTCATACTAAACCAGATGTACTTGTTTCACACAATATAAAGTGTGTGAAATACTATTTCTTTAGAGAACAAATTAAATGGAAGCTTTATCCATGTAACAAGTCCCATTCTGCAGCTGTTCCCCGCCCCCATTTATTTCCCTTGGGATTGACAGTTTGAGGCCCACTCACTAAATCCCATTAAGTGGATGATTAGAGTTTGAATTAAATCTAAATTTTACACCACTATCTTCTATTTTGTCCATGTAATCAGTTCAGACTTTTCTAATTTTCAAAATTACAAACTACATTGTGAATTAACATCTGCAAATTTTTCTGTAAAGAATTCATCTGCTTAGACTTTAGTCTAACAAATCTCTCTGGGAGGGCCACCACTATTGGGAAGTTAACATAATATTGAGGAATGGCTTCTTATAGTAATTTTGAATCAGTACCAATACAAATAAGACTACCAGCCTTGAAAGCTATCTTATCCAGTGGTTAGCAGCTTCCCAAAATGCATGAAACATACTGGCCATAAATACTAAGATCTCAAAGCAGAGACCATTCCTAATTTCTAAAGTGATACGAAAGACATTCAATGTAACTGTATTCCAAACTAGGATTTGCCTGTCCTTTGGAAACTGTTGCTACTAGAAGTTTATTAGCTTTATCATTCATTGAGTATATGGCAAACCATGCATGCATTAAATATGTATCCATTTATGAGAAATAACTTTGTATTTAAATACAAAGTTATTCCTTGTAAACAGGTTGTTTCATTTTGCCATATCAGCCTTCCCTGCAATTTAACTGTTTCTTTTGTAAATAAAATCTTTGATTCCTTGAAAGCCTGCTAAGTATCCTATAATTAGCTTATAATTTTTTTTTAGTGTCGTGCTAAGGTAGAGGTGTCAAACTCGCAGTGTCACATTGCCATCACATGACGTTTCATGTTTTTTTTTCCCTTTGCGGAGCTGGGGTGGGTGTGGTCAGTGCATGACGCATTTGCCGGGGGTGTGTGTGTGTCAGTTTGACACCTCTGGGCTAAGGTCTAAAAATCAGGTCCCTACACCTCAATAAATAAAAACAAACATGTCATTTATGAAAGATGCTTAATCCTTAAGGCTGATGACAAAGCTTAATTTATATAATTATAATTTATCTTGAACATATTTCATGAACTTCAGTGAGTGTATCGCTTATTTATGAGTATTTGAAGAGATAACAGACTTCATAATGACCAGAAATTGATGCACTCAGCATTCTAGAATCAGAAATTTGCATCTGAATGCCAAGTGTGACTAAGTGTGACTTAGTGACCCTGATTTTATTGAGTCTTTAATAAAAGCATGGACAAAACACATTAGTTACAAAAATTGCATCTGAGATTTTTTTGTTGTTCTGTTACTGACTTCAGAACAGAAACTAAAATAATGGTGGTCAATTGGAAACCCAGCGGTCAAACTACATTGTCATCAAAGTGCGAAACAACTGTTTTCTCAGTCATCCTTTATGTAAAATAAGGTTCATGAATGAGTCTTCACCAGCTTGAATCCAGATCCCTTTTTGCAGCATCAGAAATCTTGATATATTTTTTTTATCACCAACCTGATATGGCTTTTTAAAAAAATAAACAGACACCTTACATTTAGCATGACACAGTGATGAAACAAGTGGCATAATTGGCTGTAGAAAATGGTCATTGTTCATTTATTTGTTTAGAAGCCTCTAGTATTGGTAATTGTAAATGTTTAAACATACAAAATAAAACAGTAGAAAGTGGTGTCTGGGTCATTAAGGATGTAGAATCCACAAAAGAGTCTCCTCAAATTTGCAGTTCTCCCCCTTTTTCATACCCTGAACAGTCCAACTCAATTCCCATTAAGAACCGAAACCACTTGTCCAACCTAATACTGAATTTCCAAGCTGCTCTGTCCTCTGCCATCTTTCTTTACTGCCAACATGCTAAAATACCAATGTGCAACATTTCACTTACACTGACCATCTAATCCCATTTCCTTGTCTCCTGCTCAAGAAGATCTCATTTGGGAAGCTGCCCAGATACTCTTCTCATTCCCAAATTGCTACTTATTGCAATAGCAATAGTACTTAGACTTATATACCGCTTTATAGTGCTTTACAGCCCTCTCTAAGAGAGAAAGAATGGAAGACTGGGTCAGCCTTGAGCCTGGTGGGATTTGAACAGCTGATAGCCAGCAGAAATGGCCTGCAGTACAGCATTCTAACCCCTGCACCACCAAGGCTCTTATCACATCCTCCTATAAAGTTCAGTCTATATCCTGTGCATCTTCAGATCCCACCCCTCTGAGGAAGTTCCTCCCAGATTCAGTTATCCTTCTTGAAAAACAGAAATGCCAAGCAACTATTTAAATCTAGACATTCAATAATATTGGAGGTCAAACAGTTTGTGTGTTCAGATAACCTTTTGGAACAGGCTCATCATATCTTCTTAAGAGCATTCATACATATGGCGGTGACAAAGTTTCCAGTGAAGGCCCAAATGATTGTCTTTGCAACAATTTTGCCCATTCTTTTAAACACCCAGAGAACAGGTCATAGATCCAGTATTTTTAGTGTAACAAATCAGCAAACAGTTCTATTTGTTGGGTTTCTGCTAACATCAATCTGGTAAGCAAGAAATTAGTTTTAAAAAACCTGATTAGTTCCATTTATCTTACAAAAAACAGGGGAGGTGGCAATTAATTCCTACTGAGTAGCCATGACTCTTCAATAGTTATATGTGAAATTCCAAGAATGTTATTTACTTTTCTTTGCCCTGCACTTTTGCCCAGTGAAGTTCCAAGAAGTACCGTCTTGTTGCCCCTCCACATGGGCTAGTCGTATCATGAAGTAGAGTGCCAAGCAACTGATATATTAAATGCGAAGTAGAAAGTGGCAGTTTAGTAAAACTTGGAAACAGTGACAGGGAAAGGCTAAGAGGTACAAATTAAGAAGTCCAATATATCTATATAAAATAAAGCTCTCATTTTAAAAAATGTTAGTGGCTCTCTGCTTTCCAAAAATGTTATGAAAGAAGTCCACTTTCTTCCTCCCCTCCCTTCCCAATTCTTCCCAAATTATATACAGGAAAGATGCAAGAGTAAAAGGTTAAGTGAAGGAATCAAGGTTTGCGATTACATGCTCCTTGCACAGCATTAAAGCAACACCCTATGGAAGTTTAGAATAGGTACAGGAGATGCACAAGTTTATCACACTGCCTTAATGGGTGCAGATAACATACAAATTGTCCTACAATTTGTAACAAAATTCTGCTTCTACTGCATTAAGAAGAAAGTTTGCTACTACACGGTTTGAGCCCACCTTCTCTAGAAGAAAGTTTAACCACGAGCCCCCTCCATTTGGTTAAAGGGACACCTTTAAAAAATACAGAATATTATGAAAGGAATGATACTTCCAGAAGGTTATAGCCTACAGCAGCCTCCAAGATTTGAAGCTGTTGAGTGTAAGCAGCAGTCTGCCATGGGTCAGAACAAGACCTGTAAAACGGTGAAGACGTTTCCAGCCCTTCCATCCAAGGGCTGCCATCATGAATCATCTTCCATGCTAAAGCTAGAACGGCGGCTGCTGCCCTTTGAGGCACCAGGAGAGACCGAGGAAAGGAGTGGATCAGAGGCACCCAGTGGGGACAGCGCAGTCCCATCGTCCATGAGAACATCTTCCAGGGCTCCCCCATCAGATCCCATTACGAGACCCAGACCCAGCTCTTCAGCTGAAAAGGGCAGGTCCAGGGGCTCCGCAAAGGGTGGAATGGGGTCTCCTCCCAAGGACTGTGCCAGAAGGCCCTGGGTGGAAGTCAAAGGCAGCCCATGCATCTGAACCTGAAGTTCCAGCTCCTGAGGAGGAAATTACAGACAGGCTTATGAGACTCTGCAGCAGGCCTGAGCTGCCCTGTCTTCCTCCCACCCCCCACCCCCCTTGGCAGCTGTCCTACCTGGACTCGTAGCTGCAGGCTGCGGTTAGCTTGCTCTAGTTTACGCTGCCTCAGCTCCATCTCCTTGGAGCGTTGCTGTTCCTTCTGCAATTTGCGGATGTAATCTACTGAGGCCTTCAGGATAGTCCCTTTATTCCAGCGCATTTCCCTAAAATATGCAGTGAGGGGAAGGTAAGAGAACAGGAATTAAGCATCCTTAGATCTTACTTCATTTGATTCTGTAAGGGTAGTTTCTTTCAACTGGGCCCTACAAATGTGTTGTACTGCTAAACTTCTAATGTTCCCAGTTGGCCTGGGCAAAAGACAACATTCAGTCCTGGATAAACCCACAGCCCCTGAAGGACTGAACCAAGACAGGCTTCTCAAGGTAAAGAAAGTACAGCAACTTTCTATATATACAGTACTGTTTCCCACACCATGTTATTGTATTAATGTGTTCAGTATTATATATCACCAACTACTGAAGTGTTCACAAAATAATTTCTACACATACTGAATCGTGTTTATAAATTACCATTGGCTATGATTATTATTGTACTGTATAAATACATAATCATAGTTGACTTTATACCAAAATCAGATCAGATCAAGGAGAGATTCAACCTAGAAATAATAAATTTTCTGACAGTGAGAACAATCAACCCATGGAACAGCTTGCCCTCGGAAGTTGTGGGAGCACCATCACTGGAGGCTTGCAAGAAGAGATTGGATGGGCATTTGTTGGAAATGTGGTGTAGGGTCTCCTGCTTGGGCAGGGGGTTGGACTAGATGACCTACAAGGTCCCTTCCAACTCTGTTTATCTACCTTTTAAAACGTGTTACATACATCACTCAGGGAAACCCAGTGGAATACACAATGAAGCCTACACAAGCTTGTGTCCTTTTTGCAGATAAAGCTTATTTTGATTAACTAGTTGTCATCAACCTGTCATACTTACGGATCATTGGATTTGGGGATGAGGGTCCCCAGTTCTTTAATTCGGTCATTTATATTAAACCGACGACGCCGTTCAACTGTAAAAAGAGAGAGTTGTGTAAGAGGCCCTGTGGAGAGACAGAAGACCCCTGCTTTTGCTACAACTATTAATGATAAATGCATATAAAGTCTTAATTTTTCCAGCAAGCAAAGCAGTTTGCTTTTATAGCATCCAAGTGAACTTCTCAACATTCCTTAGATAAATTCCCCATTATGCCAAGTTTCTTTCAAAGTTAGGTATACATTGTGAATTGTATGGAATTATTTCTTGGGCACAAAATTCAACTTCTCAGATTCTTTAAAGGCCAAGGTTCCCAGCCTCATGGTTCTAAACATTTATTTGAAACACAGTATAAAGGCAAAAATGTCAAAAATCTCAACCCACATGAATCTGCTTTAAGTTCTTCTGAGGCTGTTCTCCAAGGGCTTCTGTTATTCAAATAATGCCACTGAAAAGTAGAAAGGGGGGTTTCTAAGCAGGGGTGCATCTTTAAAAAGAACTCAGATATACTGCAATCTTTTTCAAAGCAAGCAAAATATTTTATTTGCCTTAGTATTTTAACACTACGGTTTTAAATTGGGGGCTAGCTCTTATTGTCATAGTAACATTAAATTACAAATAATTTTGATCTGGCCTGAAATGATTAATAGGGCAATGACAAACATGTATAAATATTCTTAAAAATAAAGATGCAAACTATTTCAGTGGCTGGAAAATAGGGCTCTCTGTAGTTCTTTATTTCCCCATAATCAACAGGGAACTGAATTATGCACAACATAAACTATTCAGTGAGCCAGTTTGATGTAGTAGTTAAGGCATCAGTCTAGAAATTGGGGGGCTGTGAGTTCTCGTCTGACCTTAGCACAAAGACAGCTGGATGACCCTGGGCTAGTCACTTTCAACCTTAGAAAAGAGGCAATGGAAAATCAATTCTGAAAAACCTTGTCAAGAAATCTGCAGTGATTTGTCCAGGCAGACTCTGGGAATTGGACCCAACTGAATGGAAGGGGGCAGAGAGAAAGTTATCCAATACCAATTACTATTTCATTTATTTTTTTAATTTATATCACAACTTTATTCTATTTATAAAGAACTCAAGGCATTCTTGACTCTTTTCCTGAAAGCCGTATGAATCTGCCTTGCTGTGTAATGTGTCATATATAGGGAAGTTGAAATTACTGAGCTTATTCTTACTTGTAGAAGATTACAAATTTTAAACATACTTTGCCTTATTATAAGTCCCTTCCCATTCTTTGTTTCTTTGTATCATAAAAGCAGTATTTGTGAGGTAATGCTCCTTCTTCCTCCTGTTTTCCCCACAACAACCCTAGGAGTTGAGTTGAGTTGAGTTGGGCTGAGAGTGTGTGACTTTGATTTTGGGTTTTACCAATTATATTAATTAGATTGATAGATCTTTATAGAAATGGCTGGTTCCTATTATTATGAAAAAATAAAAAGTTGTGATGTTAATGACTTATTCTACTGCAACAGAGAGAGTCAGAAGTCAATATTTCTTTTTTTCTTATCCTCCCTCACTTCTCTTCCCCCTCTTCCTCCCACCGTTTTCCTATTTACTTTCATATTTTGTATCTTATTTGATTCTATAACTCAATAAAAATGTTAAACGTGAAAAGGATTTCCAAAAAATCCTGATGCTACATAGAAATTTAAACATTGGGTTTTCATTCAGTTAAATATTTTTTAATCTCATTTACAAAAAGGGAAAGTAAATTCTTCTTCCAAGAAAGCACACAAAACCTTTTCTTCTCTCCCAAAATGTAACACCCTAATTAAAATAGAGGGGAATGCTTCACTGATTAAAAATATGTATTTATTATATTGATTAAAGATTACAAAAGGATGAAGATTACAAAAGGATGAAGAGAAAAAGATACAAAAGGCAGATGAAAAATAGAACCTTAGTAAAAATATTGTGAAGGGGAATTTGGAATTCTCCCCTTCCCTTCTTCCCACTCCCCCCAACCACTAGCCACTATTTAAATATTTATGCTGGCTGTTAATATTTAATATAAAACATTGGAGAATTTTGCTTGTTCAAGACATTTCATCTGTTGTTTTTAATTAGTGTCTTGACTCTTTTCCTGAAAGCCGTATGAATCTGCCTTGCTGTGTAATGTGTCATATATAGGGAAGTTGAAATTACTGAGCTTATTCTTACTTGTAGAAGATTACAAATTTTTAACATACTTTGCCTTATGATAAGTCCCTTCCCATTCTTTGTTTCTTTGTATCATAAAAGCAGTATTTGTGAGGTCTATTGGCCATGCCATCACCTTTTATAACTGCTATTACAGTTATGCTGTACAGAGATTGTGTCATTCTGTTATCAATGATGGACATCTTATTTGATAGACTTGATTTTCTCATTTAAATTATATCATCTTTTGAGTCCTGCAGAATTTTGATTCTTACTCTCAGGCTTTGAAAATTAAAGATGAGCAAGCAGACCAAACTAATTCTGCACTGAAATACTGAGACAATAAACCAGGCCATTATAGAATAATTATATCCAATTTCACCAAATTTTACTCCTGATTTTATTTCTCATTCTCTGTTTTGTGTGTGCGTGCACACACATACATGCACACACACACAAAAAAACCTCCCCCACCTGAGGGAGAAAAAACTGATTTGCTACATCATGTTCATTTTACTCAGAATAAAGTCCTGCTGACTTCAAAGAGATTGGAACTTGGTGATTAAAGCACTTGCTTTGCCTGTAGAAGTTTGTAAGTTTTAAGCCCTGTTGTCCCTATTCAAAAGGATTGTGTAGAACAGGGGTCCCCAACCTTGGCAACTTTAAGACTTGTGGACTTCAACCTCCAGAATTCTGGGAGTGGAAGTCCACAAGCCTTAAAGTTGCTAAGGTTGGAGACCCCTGGTGTAGAAGATGAAAATCCGAGACAGCCAATCAGAGGAGATAGGACAAAACACCCATGACCTCATATAAGTCAATTTTCTTTTACCAAAATAAGCAAATAAGCACATAAAGGAGGGTCTCATAAACAGGAAAATGCTTTTGTCTTTTTTCCCAGTACTGAAATATCCATTTCAAACCCAAAATAAAAAGCCACAGATAGTTGAGTCCGCTCACTTAAATTGTGGTTGTCTTTCTTCTGCCTTTCCTTCAGAAATGCTTTGGTTTCGGTTTCTGTAAAGGGGCACAAAATAAGACAGAAATAATAACCAAGCCACCCACCATGTCCAGCTACTTTCTACATGAGTCTAGAGACTAGAGGAAATCAAGATGCCAGATATGGTAGTATTATGGTGCCACTGCACACTCCAAACCCTTCTTTCAACTTTTAAAAGGAACAAATGCACTGATCTTTCCTCCTGTGTGGAAAAAGAGACATAACCTCCTGGTAGCTATTCTGGGAGCAAACCCTAAACTTCTGCCTCCTAAACTCCCACCATCGTCAACTCTGATTATATTCCTGTGTTCATATATCCCTGCAATGTAGCACCTTTCAATGCTCAACTTTGGCATGTTTTCAATCCCTCCAAGTTAAGTACCTGACATCTCCCTCTTGATATTGGGCAGGTCAGCTGGGCAGGAGTTGCTGGCAGTTACAGCTGGTTCCATCATTCCTGGGTTCCTGTACACATCCAGGAGGTTTCCAGAGACTGGCAGCTGTGCAGAACAGAAAAAAACTGAAAGGACTTCCAGGCCAGCAGCTTAGAAAGTTTTGCTGTACTGTGAGATGCCTACTTTCTAATCTACCTTCTAATCTAGGCCTCCCAATCTAGATCAGAAGGCGGTACCTGGAAAATAAGAGCTGTGGATGGACACCAAGTGAGCTTGTTTCCCATTGAGTGGGGGTCTGAATCTACATCTCCCCAGTGCAGTGCAGTCCAATAATCTGCCCACTACTCCATGTTGGCTTATTTTAATGGCCAATAGGATGTGCTCTCATGAAGAAATAAATGGGTACTATACTCTTTTGATGTCAAAACAGAAGATAAATATATATACTGTATATAAAATGTACAAATATCTACAGGTTAATTTTAGTTAATGATATTTACTGAGAATGCCTAAGAAATCAAGCACTTGGTGGGTGATTTACTCTGGAGAAGTACTTTTTAAAGAACTGGGGTTAAAATAAAAACATTACCGTGTTTCTCATATAATAAGGCCAGGTCTTATTCTTTTTTTGAGCCCGAAAAAACGGCTAGGCCGTCTTTAATTCCCCCCCCCCCCCCCCCCCCCTTTGGGGGGGGGGGAACAGCTTGGATGTTGACCTTGGCGTTGGTGGGGCACTTTGTATCAGGGTCAACGCAGGCAGCACCATATCAGGGTATGCAACAAAAGTACTTCCTAACAGAAAGCCCCTCCCCTGCCATTTCTCCCCCATTTCGCATGTTTTAATATAGGCCTTAATTTGGGGGGAGGGGCTTAATTTCATTTCATGCTTATAAAACATGCTGGGACTTCCTATTGGGGGAGGCCGTATTGTTGGAGAAACAGGGTATTTTTATTTAGTTTGATTCTACTGTGTTAGTGGGGAGGAAAATGACTGATATTTTCAAAACGGTTGTTTTTGTAGTACTTTACTTGCTTCTCTCCATCTCTCAAGTACATTTTATACCAAGCAACTGATCTATTTGAAGAGGGGCAGAGCAGTCATCTACTAGTCTGGTGGATCAAAACCAATAGAGACTCTTACAGCACAGTAAAGAGAGATGGGTGACCCAAAGCCTATGGGTCAAATAACCTTCCCCCTTCTGATTTTTGCAGCAGCTTTCCCCTCCCCTGGCCAGTTACCCAAGGTACGTAGCCACTATTGGGTGGCAACATTCTTTATTATAATGGAACAGTTTCCAAAAATTTAGGGCACAAATCCTGTATTTTAAGTAGCAAAAAAAAAAAAAAGATAGGAGAAGATATAAGAGAAGATGCTGATACCCCACTTCGTCTAATACTTCCAACTTCCATTTGCTGAAGTCAACTTATGGCCTATGAAAATGTAAACCATATGTTGCTCAGTCTTTAGGACAGGGCTGTCAAACTCCTGGCCCACAGGCCGGATGCGTGACTTGCTGGCCACACCCACGGCCAGTTTAGCGAAGGGGTAAAAAGTCCTGATATGTCACGTGATGCCGAAGTGAATTTGACACCTCTGCTCTAGGATGTCACAAGGTTTTTTTTCTATTTAAACCAAGGGACATAAAATAAAAATTACCTGTTCCATCCTAATTTCCAAATCTAGGTTTCCCACCACCACTGCTTTTCCTTAAGCATCCATTTATCTTCTTTCTTTTTTTTTTTTTAAACCAAAAACTACTCACAGTGCTGGGCATCTGCAGGCCACCATAGTTCAGGATTTCATCATTGTAGCTGGATTCCAGGCTGATAATCTCATCGATGACATCATCAATCTGACAAACAGGAGAGTGGAGTGGGATCAGAAGTATCTGACATTAGGGGGGGGGGGGGGCTACTGGAAATATTCAGAAAGCAAAAATGGAGGAAAGGGCCAAAAAAGGCTGTGGGAATATGAAGGTGATAGGGGAATTTCTACTCACTTCTTTTTCAGAGTTGGAACCAATGTTGAGCATCGCCATAGGACTATTGGGGGCACTGCCAGTGCTTCCTGCCACGCCCTGCTGGTGAGCCAAGCCAGGTGGGGGCTCAGGACCTGAAACAGCCTGTGGGGAGCACGTGGGTGCACCCGGGCTAGTTCCAGTTAATGCCTGTGTTGACATCTTGCTAGCTGTAGAAAGATACTGTTTGACTTGCTGTCTCTGTGCCTGCTGGATGTGGTACTTTGTGGGGTTCTCCAGGTGGGTTTGAACCTGAATTCAAGTGAGAAAAAGAGGGGGGAAAGTATGAGTCAACCATCACTTGGGCAGTGCCATTCAACTATTTGCAAGACACTTTCCAAGCATACAGAAATCCTGAAGGCAACGCCCCAAACTTAGAAAACTGAACGCCTACCTCTATTCCTAAATGCTGGCAAATTGAATATGAATCTCACCCTCAGCTACACAAATATAACCAAATTAACAGAAGGAGCCATGCCCGTCAGGCAAAGACTACTATCACAACTAATCCTCCATGCTGTTCCCAATGAATTCAAATTTACACTTCAAATTTGCACCCCCAGATAAAGAGGTGCTATTGCACCTGCAGCGTAGCCTTGCATTGGGAGATATGAAGGAGGAGACAATGGACATCCAACCAGCTTAAACTTCAATCTATTTTCAGAGAATTTGCCAATGTCTTTTGTGTTGGTTTAAATTAGATTTGCAAATAGCTGACATAAAGAACACCGACGTACATTGATGCCCCTTTCCTTTTGTCCAATAAAAGAACTGGATTCTCAGTAGCCAATCACAGCTGTCCCAAGGAATACCTGATGCATAGATCCCCCACATGGGCACCTTCCAGAAGTGTGTACTTCAACTCCCAGCATTCCCTAGCCAGGATGAGCATTGCTGAGAATTCCAGGAGTTGCGGCCTTCGATCCACCTGTTGCAGAAGGCAACAGGACTCTAAGTAACTCAGGAGCCAATTGCAACATGACACAAGGAATAAATAACACAGTCTGCTCCGACTTGAGGGCCTTCCAGATGTTTGGACTTCAAATTCCCAGAGTTCCTGTTCAGAGTGGTCATAGCTAAACATGTTGAACTATGGATGTCCAATGTAATAAGACATACTATATGCCCGATCAAGGAATGTAGCTCTCAGACTTCTGCATGGAGAAGGAGGCTATGTCATTCTGTCCCATGACTACAGTGATATGGATGCAAGGAAATGGAACGAGCACTTGGGCCAAGCAGGTCTAAAATAAGAGGATGGGCAGAGAAGCTGCCTTAGGGCTCCAAGAGCAGTTCCAGTGTTATTGTGTATACTCTGTAAATATGCAAAATATTTCAAGTGAAGGAGAATCCCTTTCAGACGGCCTCTCAATCTCAAAGACATGCTACCAACCTCTTCTTCTAACTAGCTCCTTTTGCTAGGGTGAAACCTGATTTCCCTCCAGTGCAGAGTTGCTTCCTCTTTTCTCTTACCTTCAATACCTCCACAGGCACCTGGGCAGGTGCAGGGCGAGCTAGTGGGCTCACAGAAATAGCCAGGGTGGCTGATGCAGCGGGTGCAGGAGTGAACTGGGCTGCCTGCCGTTGCTCTCGAAGTTCCTGTTCTTGCGTCTGTGCCCGCATAAGCTGCTGCCGGAGTAGAACCCGGGACGACATGTTAGGACTTTGAGCTGGGGCCCTTGGAGGGCTGGAAGAAGGACAGAGAGAGAGAGAGAGACTATTAGAATCATTTTACTTCACTGGCCAGTAAATTCTCCAAAGAAGCCTCACTGCTAAGAGAATACCAGCTCCTGAATACAAGTGTGTGTGTGTGTGTGTGTATGTGTGTGTGTATAATATCCTACATTAAGTAAGCTGCCAAGACCTGTCAGAATGGAGCACAACAGAAATGCAATAAATAAATAAAGCAGGCTATTATATTGAGCATAATTAGATTAGACTTTTGTGAGATGAAGCTTTCTTCCCACTAATGGAGCAATGATGCACTAAAATAGTATACATGGGAGGTACAGTATATATTTTGTGATGCTCCGTAAAGGCAATTGTTGAGATAGGTTGTCAGGTTGCAGGCTGACAACAGCCCTCAAGGAGCCCGGCTCCTGAGGATATCTTGGACAGCTAAACCAGTGGATGGCCTAGCACAGGGGCCTGCAACCTTAAACACTGAAAGAGCCATTTGGGTCTGTTTCTCACAGAAAAGAAAACACCAGGAGGCAATAATTTAACAACCGGTGTGATTGGGTGGGCGTCACCTCCTGCTCTGGAATATGGAGCCAGTCTCCATTCCCTGCCATCACCTTTACCTTCTCAGGCCAGGTGAGGAGTGACGGAGGGGGGAGGGGCCAGCCAGTGGTGGGATCAGCCAACAGGGAGCCGCAGCAGAAGACCAAAAGAGCTGCATGTGGCTCCAGAGCCACAGGTTGCAGACCCCTGGCCTAGCAAAATCAACCTAGAGTTTTCTCTCGAGGCACAAACAACCAGGCTCAAATTATCTTATTTTGGACACTATGTGAAGACCTAGCTCTTGGGGAAAGGCTCTGATGCTGAGAAACGTGGAAGGAAAGAGGAAAAGAGAACGACCAGCAGCAAGATAGATTCCGTTATTATGGCGTGCCCTTTTCAAAAACCTGAAAGAGAAGGTTGGGGACTTTTCCTCAGGGAAAAGTCCTTTTAACTCGCGGGCGCTCGCGCCTGGCCCCAAGCCGCGCGGCGGAGGGGAAGTCCGGCGGGCGGGCGGGCTGCTTGGAGGAGGCGACCCGGCGGTGCTCCGGCAGCAGCAACAGGCAGTTTCGCCCGGGCTCCGCTCAGGTGTCCGGCTGGGGCTGTCAGGAGTTGCTACCGCCGGCGCAGCTCCGCGCGGCTCCAGTCCTGCGTTGCCTTGGGAAGGAAAAGGCAAAACCAGGAGCCGCTGAGCCTGAGCCTCCGGTGCCGCTGCTCCCATTGCAAAGCACCGCCGCGGCTCTTCCTTTTTGCCTTTCCCTTCCCGAGGCAACGCGGGACTGGAGCCGCGCGGAGCCGCGCCGGCGGTAGCAACTCCTGACTCAGGGGGCCTCCGAGGGGAGGGGAAGGAGGAGAAGAGGGGGGGAAGGGGGGGGCGATTCCCAAAAAATCTTGTGCTGACCCGGCCCGTCTGTCAAATTTTAAAAGTCAATGCGGCCCCCGAGCCAAAAAGTTTGCCCACCCCTGTAATATGCTGTAGTATAAAAATGGTCAGGTGTATTTAAACAAAGATGATTCAACTGAGATCAGAGCTTCAGATAAAGAACAGAAAAACATCCAGGTTCTAAATTGCCATGGCTTCTTGCTAGAAATTTGGGGAAATTCGGTGTTTAATACACTACAAGGGAAGAAACTCACATAATTAGAAGAGATCATTTGGGAAACTAAGTCCAGCTCAACTTAAGAATGTTTGACCAGTCCCATTTTAAAGTATAGGTAGGAGAATAAGGTTTTATTTTTAATATACACAAAAAAGTTTTATATTACATGTTAGGCAAAAGTCTACTATGTCAATGGAAGCATATTGAATTTTATGTACCTAAACGTGTGCAAGCAATAGAAAAAAAATTCTGTGACAGCCACTTTTGTCTATGCAGGAGATTAACAAAAAAACAACAACCCCAAGATGTATTATTTAGTTCAGCCTTTCTTTTTCTTACAGGAACAATCTAAAATCTCATCTTTAAAAGCCTCGGGGATCTCTGAGGTTCAGCCAAAAAATACTGTAAAACCTGAAAAGGCCAATAATAAATAAATGAAGCCCCCACAGTGAAATATGTTATTTTGAAAGCCTAGAATTGAAGGATTATGTAATCTATTTGCAAGTGACAGGATAAAATGTGCCAGAAGAATGAATGAACTGCACTTTAAAAAAAAAACAAGAAAAATCCTCTTAATAGTATCCTTTGATCTGATCAGAAATTCTCCTTTCCTTTAGCTTATTCCACCACCGAAGTAACTGAGAAGCAGAAGGATCACAGCTTCACAGAGCCCAGTGACAGCTGTGCTTCGATCTTCCTACCTGACACCAATGGGTTGGCTCTTGAGTTCGTAGAAGTTCTCGCTGGTCAGAGAGAGGATGTTCTCCAAATCAATGTCAGCCACAATCCCAGACTCTGGAGGCACAGAGCTGAGGCTGTTTGAAAATACAGACAAGGATTAAGACACAATGCTTATTTCTCTTTGAACAATTAAGATTTATCTCAGCCAATAAACTGAGACTTAGCTCCTCTAAACCATTATCTATGTAGCAGGAGACACTGATGTTTGCTTAATAAACCTGTGACATCCTTTCTTAGATAAAACAGACCTGTCAAGGCCACCTATTCTTTAATAGTTGTATAACTGGACTACTGTAACACACACCACATGGGCCTATCCTTAAAAATATTCTTTGGTCTTCAGAAGTTAACTACTGCCCTGTTACCTGGGACAGATCACCGAGTAGTATTCCAACCTTGTTGAGCTTATATTTATCTGTTTGCTTTCCGTTTCAAATTTTTATTTTGAAAGCTATCCTTGGCTTCAAGGTCTACAATTTTAAGTTACACTTGCCCTATATCTATATTCTTTTCCCACATGCTATAGTCCAGGGGTCCCCAAACTTGGCAACTTTAAGACTTGTGGACTTGCAGAATTCCTCAGCCAGCTTTGCTGGCTGGAGAATTCTGGGAGTTGAAGTCCACAAGTCTTAAAGTTGCCAAGTTTGGGGACCTCTGCTATAGTCAATGTCAGAGCTGAACTCTTCCTTCCTGTAGCATCCGAGGTTCAACATCTCCCAGAATAGGGTTCCTGGAATATATCCTTAGACAGAGATAACGCAAAGCCGTTAAATGCATGTGAAAATTTGGCTTTTTTTAAATGGATTTATTACTGATCCATTTGTTTGCTTGGATTTCATGTTGTATTTCCTGCTGGTGATATGATAGAGCAGGATCATTTTCAAGAAACATAAGTACTTCCTGTCTGTTTTTAGTATTTTCATGGACTAGGATAACTGGCTAGCAATCATAATCTGATACATCACAAACTTGATATTATTATTATTATTATTATTATTATTATTATTATTGTTATTGTTATTGTTATTGTTATTGTTATTGTTATTGTTGTTCTTGTTATCCGCTATTGGTTTGTTGCTTGTTGTTTATCTGAGGGGTACTGGTGATTTTAACAGTTAATGTTGCTGGCCACTTTCATTTTTCTTTAGCAGGAAAACCAGACTTCAATAGTAATAGTTGGTAAGCTATAACAACCCTTGAACTTTCAATTTTCTTGGCATCATTTTTACCTGGCAACTATCACCAGACTCTGAATAAGTAAGAAGAGTTCCTTGTATCTGCAACTCACAGTCTTGGGCATAAACAAGTACAGGGGGAAAGGTAGGGAAATTTCCCACAAGGAAAAGGAGGTAGCAGAAGTGGAAAGTGATTCAAACATTATACCAAGCACCACCACCATTAAATGTTCTGATCTGAAATGTACACATTTATCTCAACCCTACGATGATCATCATATATTTCAGGAAGAATATGATTTACCCAAAGGTGGTCAGAGAAAATATTTTTACTTCCCAAGCTTGATTTTTTTTTAAATTGTGACAACCAGTAAGCCCTTCACATAGCTTACTAAGGCTTAGCTTCGTACTTTGGGACTCACATCTTTCACAAAGATGGAAAGAATTTTGTTTTTTAACCGCAGGATGTTTTATTTCCAAGAATAGGGGGCTGACCATGCTTTCAATGTTTCTTTTTCTCTGCATGATTTGGCAAGATTTTAGTGCAATGTTAACACAGTTCTGTATCTGATTACATCCAATTAACATCTTCCAGATGATTTAAACATTAACTCTAGGACTGGAACCTGGTGAAGAAATACTAAGTACATTTTCTCCCTTTTCCTTGGCCCTTCCTGCAATTTTTTAACTATCTGGTCAGCTGTAGAGTTCTTTGAAATTCAAAAGCTTCCACATTATTTCATAATCTTTCAGTCTCATAGACTTATATTGTTACAAATTCAGGATTTTTATTTTTTTCATGATCAGCTTAGCTGCTGTTGCCTGTTTTGTAAGTTTTCAGGGGTGGCCTTACATGTTTTGCTACTTGAGACATCCAAATACCACGATAAAAACTGGATTAGCGGCTAAAGTTTACTTTAACATTAGCGATGGGTCCACATTTTTCCCTACATCTGGGGACAGGAAAGACACGGCTAATGAGAGGATCCAACAGCCCTGACTTCCAAGCTAGCTGCATGAAGTGTCTGCTTCATGCTGCCTAGCCATAGATCTGATTCTGAGAAAACAGCATCACCCAAGTTCTTTAATTACAGCTGCTCAATTAAACTGCCTGCTGGTATTTAAAAAAAATCCCAGAGGACTGGAAAGCTTGTTGATTCAGCCATCTCAACAATTATTTATTTCATACTTTTATTAGCCTCATATTTTGCCTTTCATTTAGGAGCTCAGGGCTGTGTACACAACATTCCTTCTTTCTGCTTTTCTTTCTAACGACAACCCCGTGAAGTAGGTTGTGCTGAGGGGGAAATTGGCCCAAAAACAACCAGTGAACTTTCCTGGCTGAAGGAGGAACAGAATCTGCATTTTCCCCCATGCCAGCCTAACACCTTGTCTATTATAGCACACTGCCTCTAAGTTAATCATTGTTATTAGCACACATTACTCTTAGCATACAAGTTATTAAGAGCTTTTTTTTAAAAAAAATGCCATAAATATTTTATTAATAATACTATTTATGTTTTGATAAACTATGTCGTGTCTGTAAAGGGAATGGATGTAACTATCTCTGGAACTGATGTCTTCTAATGTAAGCCCCACTAGGTAGTGCAGACCAGGAAATCCATTCCACAAGAAGGCTAAAACTATTTTTATTGAGATTGACTATAATTATCTTGCAAGTCTGATTGAGCTGTACTTCCTCCTCCTCCTCATTATACTTAGTGGATTAGGGAGGCGTCTTCCTGAAGTGCCGCTGAATATTATCTCACCGTTCTGTACTTCTAAAAAAGCCTAGGTAATGATTCCCGCAGAGGTGATATTCAGCACGTTCTGACCAGTTCTGGAGAACAGGTAGCGGAAATTTTGAGTAGTTCAGAATACCACCTCTGACTGGTCCCACCCCTGTCTATTCTCTGCCTCCCAAGTCCCAGCTGATTGGCTGGATCTTCTTTTGTAGCCCTGTACAGGAGAATGGAGCTGGAAAGCAGGTTAGTGGGGTGGGGAGGGAATGGAGATGTTACAGTATCCTTTCCCTGGAGTGGGGAGAGAATAGGGATTTTACAGTATCTTTCCCCTGCCACTCCCACACCATACCCACCACGCCACGCCCACAGAACTGGTAGTAAAAAAATTGAATCTCACCACTGGGTTCCTGCATTACTTTGTCAAGATCATTTGCCTTACTCTCTACACATAAAAAGCTTCAAACTTGCAATATATAACATTCCACACCCAAGACAGTACAAAAGGTATTTAATCAAGAGCTGGAGAAGACAAAAGAGTTAGTGTAAGTATGAGGTGGGTGTATGGTGGGTGGTAACAAGCTATCTATTTGCTGAAGACAGAGCCTTTTAATTTAAAGAAACAACTAAAAAAAATATGAGATGATAAAGAGCTGCAAAAAGAAAAGCAGAAATTAGAAACTGTCATCAAAAATGAAAACCCTATTGAGATATTTTAAAAGAAACCCAGTTTGAATTGGCTTCTCATTATAATAACTGATCAGGGCAGTTTCTTTTACAAAACTAATATACTGCCAGTTACCATATTCTGGGGACAATCCACAGGGTTTCTTTTTTTTTTTTACAATATTTACAGAAATGTCTGCAGAGGCACCTTATTCCATTAAATAGGATTCTGATCTTAGAAATAAGGTTGTTCTTAGGTCCAGGGGGTTTCACTATAATGGTGATTATGCAAATCATTGTGAGTTAAAAACCATCTGGTTGCCTGAATTCACCAATTTAATCTCCTAAAACCTCTGAAGCTGGAAATTCTGGTGTCCCAGTTGGGAAAGGCTGACCTGCATTTACTGGCCTTATGCTAAATTATGTTTGGATCTCGTGTAAAGTTACTATTGTACAGAGCTCACAAGGGAGGTTTTCCCACTGTTGCCCACCCCAGAGACAGAAAACTGGCCCAAAAGGCAGGCAAAAAGACAAGTAATACCATAGTTTAAAACTGAGCTGTGAGACCTCCTTGTCCTAGCAAAGCACACAACTAAGGCAAAGTTTAGAACTTAGGCGGAATTTGTGGTAACTTTTTCTAGCCAAACATGGTGGAAGTGATTCCTAATCTGGAGAGAAGAAATTGTGCAAACTAGCATGATAAAACACCTCCTTTCTCCCAAGAGCTAAATTTGAGGAAGTGAAAAAGATCTCAGATAGTGAGCTGTGCACAACCACAAAAAAATATGCCTGTATCAGAGCCTGTAGGGAAGAAGCAGAAATTGAAGACTTCTAGCACAGGGGTCCCCAGGCCGTGGCCCCTACCAGACCGTAGCCTATTCGTAAACAGGCCACGTGAGAGGTGAGCCAGTGTGCACACACAGTGCAGCTCAACTCACGTAAGCAGTGGGCCAACATGCACACGCAGGCAGCTCAGTTGCAGTTGAGTTGCGTGTGCATGAGTGTGTGCACCACTCAGGCAAATTCAATTGTTTGCATGCACACCAGCCTGCCACTCATGCAGCCCAGTTCCCCTCCTTCCCCCAAGCAGGGCCACCAAGCCACAAAGGTTGGGGACCGCTGTTCTAGCAGGCAAACAAATAGATGAAATCTCTGAGTTACAAGGCTAAGCTTGGCCTTCCTCTAAATTACTTAAAAAGCCTGATTTCATTCAGAAAAATAGTTTTTCTCCACTCTTACTAAAAGCCAGGCTTAACCTTTCAAACAAGTACTAATACCACTCTATAAAGCCTTAGTAAGACCACACCTAGAGTACTGCATCCCGTTTTGGTCACCACATTATAAAAAAGATGTTGAGACTCAAAGTACAGAGAAGAGCAACCAGGATGATTAGGGGACTGGAAACAAAGGCTTATGAAGAACGGTTACAGGAACTGGACTCGACTAGTCTAGGGAAGAGAAGGACCAGGGGAGACATGACAGAGGTCTTCC